GTCATTATGTTTCTTGAGGATCTCACTACATTTATTGTCGGTCTCACCAGTCTTTTCGAAGGCCTTACTAAGTTTATCGGCAGCTTCTAGACAGTTCTTGAGAGACCTTAAAAGTCTGGTTCTGAACTCAATATCCTCCATTGACAGTTTTGTCCTGTTTCTTTATCTCTGCATTTTTTATGCTTTTTTGGTGCACCCCCTAAGTGGTCTTTTGCGCTGTCTTGTTGTAGTTAAGCCTTGATTGTTGTCGTTGATACTGGGGGGATTTGACCTCCAGGCCAGTTGGCTGTCTAAAAAGGATTTTCCTAAAAAAAAAAAATCAATGGAAAAAATACCAAGAGAGAGGATTACAAAAATTTTTTTTAAAGAATAACTACCATTATCTTACCTAAAATTAACATGATATTTAATATCACCAACTATCTAATGTCTAAATATCTAATCATCTCTTAAATGTCATGATTTTTAAAATTAGTTTGTTTAATTAGGAACCAAATATGTTCAACATATGTCAATGGGATGATGTCTCTTTAAGTCTCTTTTATGGGTTCCTTCTTCTCTTTCTGTCTCTCTGTCTTTCTCTGTGTCTCTGTCGCTCCTCTCTGTTCTCTCTCTCTCATTTTCATTCTCCTTACAAGTTATTTGTTGAAGAATTTGAGTCATTTGTCCTATAGAGCTTCCCTTAGCCTGGATTTTTGCTGATTATATTCCCTAAGTGGTTTTGACATGTTTCTGTCTCCTAGAATTTCTTTTTTTTAAAATATACATATTTTTTTATTTTTGTTTGGCTAATCCTCACCCAAGGATATGCCCCCCCCATTTATTTTTAGAGAGTGGAAGGGAGGGGGAGCGATAGATAGAAACATAGATCCGCTGCCTCCTGCACTGCCCACACCGGGGATCGAGCCCGCAACCCCGGGCATGTGTCTGGACCAGGAATGGAATCAGCGACTTCTTGGTGCATGGGTCAATGCTCAACCACTGAGCCACACTGTCCGGGTCCAAAGTGGTTATTTTAATTCTGTCATTCTTTATTTATTAGCCAGAATGTTTCCTTAAAGAAAACCTTCTTCTCTTCTGCTCTTTGGTTAACCAGTGATACACTTCATATCACAGAAAGTTGCTTGATTTTTGTCTCTGCCTTTATTTGCCAGCTGTCATCTTTATAAAATAGTTCCCTAATATCCGCCCAGGTAGCCAATGAATTTTTTGTTGTTATTTTAGTATCCTTATGAACTCATAGATTTACACACATGCTTCAGTCCACTGCATTTTTAACCTTTATACGTGTTCAAATTATTCTATCTTTTGCTGATGGGAGCCTCTTGAAGTTGGCTTCTGAGTCCTTTAAACACAGTTCTGGTAGATTTTAAAAAAATGTATTTGTATTGATTTCAGAGAGAACGGGAGAGGGAGAGAGAGATAAAAACATCAGTGATGAGAGAGAATTATTGATTGGCTGCCTCCTGCAAACCCCCCTACTGAGGATCGAGCCCAAAACCCTGGGAATGTGCCCTTGGACTGGAATTGAACCCGGGACCCTTCTGTCCCCAGATCGATGATGTATCCACTGAGCCAAACCGGCCAGGGCTGTTAAGATTTTTTTAAAATTAAATCTTTATTATTCAGATTATTACAGTTGTTCCTCTTTTTCCCCCATAGCTCCCCTCCACCCGTTTCCTCCCCCCTACCCTCCGCCCTCACCCCCCCACTGTCCTCATCCATAGGTGCACGATTTTTGTTCAGTCTCTTCCTG